GCCAAAATAGAGACAGACACTTAAACCAACTGAGCCACCCAGGCGCCCCTTACAAAATTCAATGCAGTTGCATAGAGATGTCCAAATGAACGAAACAGCATGCTAATTTTTGACATCCAGGTTGTTTCTACATGCAGTTTTGTACAGGACTATATACACGTTTTGAAAAATTCTCAAAATTGAAAATGGATTGCCGGATTATTCTCCCTAGGAACTACTATTCAGACTACCATCGTTGAATTAGTGTTATTTCCAGAAAGCCTTGCCAGTGTTAACATTTATTTCATCTCATTTTGCAGGCTTTGAATCCCTGCAAAATGATCAGGGCTGGTCAGGAAAATGTTGAGATACCAGGAAACTACTAAAGAGAACCAGGGTCAAGGATATAAAGGGGTTAAGGAAGGCTTCTCTAACTTCCAGGGTTCACCTCAAACCTCTTAGTACCAAAATGCTAACGATAATGGCTAAATAGGCAAATCTATCAAGGGTGGGGAATTGAGTTGTAAATAAAGGTGAAATAACTTAACTCCCAAGTTTTAGGGTAGCTGTGAAAAGGAAACATTTCAAAAAGGTTTAGCTGAGACCACATGGTGATTAAGAAAATGAATCAAGAGAGGGTGCCTGTCTGGTCAGTCACTAGAGTGACTCAATCTCCAGGTTGTGAGTTTGAGCCCCATGTTGGGTGTGGAGCCAACTTAAAAAAAAATCTTTCTGAACCCTTATTTCTGTGAAACCTCAGGCAAAGTTACATTTAAACAAGACATTTCTGCCTCCAGTGTTTGGGAGCCTGCTTGTCATAAAGTTCCATTACTAAACTCCCCCAAGGATAGGAATATTATCTTAACTGATAAAGACATAGGATCATTTCACGTGTGCAAAAAGGGGGAGGGGAGGCCTAATAAATTACCCATTCCTGAGAAAATGAGCAAACTATAAAGACTATATAAAAGGTATCTATACATAGACACCAACAGCAAACATTCCTGATGGAATATGCAATGCTTCCTTCCTAAAACTGAAATCAAGTAGATGACTTTAATAGGAGACAAGGATAAGACTCAGGCAAGCAAAGCCCTCGTTGAGCAAAAGGAAAGGATGTATTCTCAGATGCCAACTTGCACTACCCTCAAGATACCTCCCTGAATTTTGCTCCCTAGGTGTCTTAAACTCCCTTAACCACAGCCTGCTCTTACCACCTATATTCAACAGGTATTAGAGGTCCTAACCAGTGCATTAATAAAGAGCTCAGCAAGGTCCTACACAGACTTTAAAATTATAAATTACCTATAAATTAGCAATTGGAAAGAAAACTCAATTGACACTAAGCACCAAGGAACCTAAAGTACTTGTTCATCAAAATCATACAGAACATCACGAAACATTTCTGAGAAAAATTATAACGGATTCTACCCAATCCTAACAATCGGGATCATTATTACCTTTTAAAGGGGGGCGCCTGGGTGGCTCAGTTGGTTAAGTGGCTGCCTTCGGCTCAGGTTATGATCCCTGGGTCCTGTGATCAAGCCCTGTTGTCTGGCTCCCTGCTCGGCAGAGCCTGCTTCTCCCTCTCCCTCTGCCTGCCACTCTGCCTGCTTGTGCTGTCGAATGAATAAATAAAATCTAAAAAAACAAAACAAAACAAAACAAAAAAAAACTGCGGGGGCAGGGGCAGCATGACATGGAGAACTCCAGCAGACTCCACAATTTGACCAACTTGACCATGACCAGAGCCAAAACCAAGAGTCAGACCTCAATAGACTGTGCCACCCAGGTGCCCCAGGCTCTTTTAAAAATAGAAATTGAGGGGTGCCTGGGGGGCTCAGTCGTTGGGCATCTGCCTTCGGCTCGGGTCATGATCTCAGGGTCCTGGGATCGAGCCCTGCAATGGGCTCCCTGCTCAGTGGGGAGTCTGCTTCTCAGTCTCTCGCTCCCCCTGCTTGTATTCCTTGTCTGTCAAATAAAATCTTTAAAGAAAAAAAAAAAAGATACCACTACACATCCAGAAGCCACAAAACCATTTGTATGCAAATATTCATAGCTTTATTCATGTTTTCCAAAAATCAGAAACCAATAAACAGTGGATAAACTATAGTATATTCATACACAATGGCTCCTACTTGGCAAAAGGAATACATGGTTCAACCTCTCAAAAATGAAAAAGCACTTTATGAGTATATACCTCATGATTCAATTAAGTTCCAGTGGAGCAGGGTCCCCAGTGGGACCCTATGCTGTGGTGAAAAAAACTGGTTTAAGTAGTTAGCTTGGGGGTGGAAGTAGATTGCTGAGTTGCCTAATTAGGGTTAAATGAACCTTTTGTCCCAATATGGCTGTGGGCTAAAAGTGTATTCACTTTTGAGAACTATAGTTAAGATTTGCATATTTCAACTTTGTAAATCTTCCCTAAAAAGATGTGTAGTAGATATGTACCAGAGCAGAACTGAGGATAGTTTAAGGTAGGATATGAAGATTCAATGTACTATTTTGTTTTACTTTTGTATATTTGAAGATTCTCCAAGTAAAATGTTTAATTACAAATCTCATCTATTTTCTGGGGTCCTAGCTAATCCCTGCAGAAAGCTGTTACAAAGTCTCTCAAGGTAGAAGGGATGGAATCCAAAGAACAGTTTCCATTTTAACAGGAATAAAAGGGGGTAAGAAAACATCAAGTTTGAAGATGGGGAGTCAGGAATTGGTGAGTTATTTGGTTAGGAAAATGAAAGTAAAGTCCTGTACCTTTCATAGTGTAAATACCACACCTGCAACTATGTGTCTGAATCTCCATCACTTACCTGTTCCTGTAAAAGAACCTGGTGTTGATGGTATCATGCTGTTAACATTTTACTTTTCTAGGATCCATCCTTTTTTCATTCATGTCTTAGAAAAAAAAATTCTTTAATATGCTTTTTCTGAGAAAGGTATGAATATACATTTTATAAGATTCCAATTTTCAGATTATTGTAGACATGAGACTGAAGAACTGAAATTTTGTCAAATAAATGATGAGACATGTACCTAACATGGCAAAAATGATCAAGGTTATAACTCTGTTCTAGTAACAGAAATAACAGTGAATGAAATAAAGGATGTTTACAACTTGTTCCTCCCCACACAACCAGAATGAGCCTATTCTACAATAAAGGCTGGAACATTTTACCTTCAAACTTTTGACTTAAATCCAAACTCACAAACATACTTTTTCTTACTACTTACCTTTCCTCTTTGATATCCAGTACACATATATAACCCAGCTATTTCTTTTAAGCTTCAGTTATGAAGCCACTAACAAAAAATGCTTAAATCTGAGTATAAATTATTCTCCCAGGAGCTTAAAGATGTCACGTCTTCATGATTATTCTCCCAAATGTTAGGAAATAACCAAATATAAATTTCCTCAAATCACAAAAATTTGTAGATACATTTTTTAAATAGTATACATGACCAAATACTAGACATCAACAGAAAACTTTCTGAATGTCACTGGACAATGAATTAAGCAAACTTTTATTGAAGCTTAAATTGTGGTACAGAAATACATTTCAACTGATTTAAGTCCAACACCATGAAGAGAGAAATAATGGCACCAAGATTTTCCCTCCTCTATCATACACACTAGGATTAATTTCAATTACTATTTAATCTGTAGTTTTAATTTTTCTAGGCTTTATTCCATACAAATTTGTGCAGTTTTTCAATATTAGATAGAAATCTTTATCTATTAGGAGAAAAAAAAAATCAGACCTCAAGCCAAAAAATGTCATCAAATCTACTGGGACACTGTTCAAGAACAAAATCCACTTTGAGCATTGGTCCTCAAAACAGTACCGAAACATTAGGTACTGTGTGCTAATTACAGAATCAAACTTGATCCATTGACTGAAAGTTTCTTCAATGAAACTTTGAATCAACATGCTTAAAATAAAAGTCAAAATTTGTGTTCCAACCACTTGATTTCAAACCAAGTAGATTTTATGTTTAGAAACACTAAAAAAAAGTGTTTCATTTATAAATACGGAAGGAACAAAAACATCACTGCGTCAATCCAGAAAGAAAAAAAATTTTGTGAGGACAAGAATATAAAAAATTTAGTCAACTCTTGTTTTCTCAGCTGCTTAATCTCGTATTTGCAAATATAGCTAAAAGATGCCAACTCCTCAAAGCCTGTATTTCTAGTCATTTCCCATTGACCAGTTTGGAATTTTGTCTTATGGATAGCATTCTGCTTCATTGTGTATGTCTGAATAACCTGAACAGTTCTCATTCTGGGAAGTTTCACTTGATGCTATGAAATCATGGTGAAAGGAACACCAGGAAGAGAAACAGTTCAAGTCAGAACACTATCATAATGCAATACAAAGTCAAAGAACTTTAAGTCACAAGATGACAAAGACAAGACTCCATTTTCAACCCAAGTTTATGGTATATTATGAATGAAAATGATTGGAGATAGCTGCTAAATAAAAGTTAAGGTGAATCATCTGAGCTGACTTATTAAATCCTGTAAATACCTTTATCTTAATTTCCTTGCTAATAAACTTAAGTGATAAAAATTTTTATATAACTACTTATCAAATTACTAAAGGCATGGTACTACTGAGAAGCTAATCTCATTTAATGGGAACACAGAATGGCATAGTTTCTGGAACAGTTCTGCCAGTATACCCTAATATAAATATGTCTTCCTTGCTAATCAACAACAGGTTTACTTTTGTCACTATCTCCCAAAAGAGCCCATGTCAATATAAAAGGAGGCCAAACTCCCTTGACCTTAAAAAGAAAATTAAGCCCAGGGTCCACTCTCCCTTCCCCCTCCCGGGTGTAAGATTAGTATAAACCCACAGTGTAACAGTGTATTGCTTTATTGAGGTGGGGGTTGGGAGGCAAGACACCATGGTGAGGAACAAAATCAATTAAAGGAAGTACAGTTACAGGAAGCAATAATGTTAAAATAGTGATACACAAAATGGATAACTGCAATCATTTTCTTAAGAGGACTTGACTCATGGAAGATAAACTTTAATTGCTGTTGCAAAAAACATCTGTATGAAGTAGAAACTGGTTTCAGTAATATTAGTAGAGAGTATGTTCTAGAAAGTGGAGGTAACTGGATGTAAAATCCTGGCAGCAATTTAATAGAACAGTCCCAGATGATTAGGCTGAGGCCAACACCTAATGAGGACGAAAGCCTTGTCTGTGGGGAATTTTGGATGATACCTGGAGAAATATTACACTGTGCGTAAACCAAATTGAATTGTTTTCACAAGTGTTGTAAAGTTTCATATAGTAAAAGTTTTTTTCTACATGCACTTCAATTTCACAGCAAGAGTGGCATAGGATACCTAAACACAGAAGAGAGCATTCATGCAAGATATCTAACTCCTTGATATAATAATGCATACAATTCAAAATGATTACACTATCATTACATCTAGGGCTTTCTGCAGCTACAAGGTGGTGGTTATGGAAAGCATGGCCCCCGATATCAATATCTAAAAAGCAGCCACCACCTCCTTCTATGTGTGTTCTCTTTTTGCGTTTTTTCTTCATTTTTATTAATCAACTCTGCTGTTGTTGCTGCTTCTTAGCAAAACTGGTAAAAACAAAATTGTAATCATTGAACATAGCGCTCTGGCAATCAAGACGTTTAAAGCCTTCAATCTTCTGGGGTGAAGAAAGCACTGTGCGACATTTAGAACTCTGGGGAAAAATTTTAAATAGAGCATTAGTGTTTCAAATCTGAAAAAGTATTTTCAAACAAAAGTCACTTAAAAGTATTTAAGACTACTGTCTGAAGAACTGTGGCATTTGAATATTTTAGCTGTCTCATGGGTAGATGGAGTGAGACATCCTACATTGTTCCCCCACCTGCCCATCTGTCCACAGGGAAAACAGGACAGAAGGAACCCATCATTTGGGCTAGATAGAAAGCAACAACCAAGTCTAATCAAAGATACAAAGCATCTCCTCTACCAGTAACCTTAACAGTAGTACTTTTAGATATCTGACTGATACCTGCCATCTTAGAATACATTTTATGACACAACTCACTATCCTTATTTCCTGTAAGATTTTATTGTCAATAATAAGACAAATTACCTGATTTACAAACAGGGTGGTCACAAATTTTCCTGGCTTGAAGACTTCCACAACTTTCCTGATCAGGTCATCATAGGAGGTCTGACTTAAGTTTGTTTCAAAGCTAACATAAGAAAATTCTGGTTCTGGAGTGATGTGAATAGTCCAATAAGTTCCCTTAAAGAAATAGGTTTATGTTAGTAATGGAATGGGGACACTTAAATATTTAGTAATTATTAAGCAAAATATCACTTACATCCGATTTCATTCCATTCATTGAATACCCACAAGGATTGAAAAGTGTGGCATCAATGACAGAACCTGGTATCAGGTCACGAATTCCACTCTCCTGGGAAAAGGGAAAGACTGAATTACATACAAATTTGAAAAATAAACTGAGAATGAGTTAAAATATTTAGTTCCCAAGAATAATCAAGAATCATTCTTGAAACCGCTTACACGAGTGACATCCTTTGCAGTAACACCATCTTTCATGTAGAACTGGTCCATAACTGCTGGGTCAAGCTCACTCATCAGAATTTCCAGGGTTTGATCTGGCTGACTGATTACCCGAGTCTCTGGGAAATCCAAAGTATACAAGTACCTATACAAAAGTAAAAAGTAGTTTCTAAAAATGATAAATGGCAATTTAAAATAAATCCTATAAAGACCAAAAAAAAAAAAAATCCATAAAACTGTGTTCAACATACCAACAGTCAGAATTCATACGTCCCATACAATATGCTGCTCCATCTGTTGAGGGAGGAGAGAATGTAAAGTAAATTTAACACCTCCATTTGGTAGCTTTGCCCCCATCCTTCTAATGGTTAGGGTGTTAGTGCTTGCCTCCTATCAGAAATGTTATCGGTGAAGGGAAGTGAGTTCACAAGTAGGCAGGATGCCCTCCGTCATCCCCTAAATATTTTACTAAAAATATTTTACTGTCATTTAGAGATATATTTCAACTAGTGAGTTACTCTGAGTGCTGAGAAAACCATGGCTCACTCTCCCCTAAGACTCCATTAAGGAATGGAATTTGATCACCCATTTATCTACATTCCCAAGTACGTACAAGTCATTTTATGTAATACATTCTTTCCATATTTTTGTTCCAAAGCCTCACTCAACACAGTAAATTAACTGGGAGATATTTACACTAAATTATACTCAGCACTGATACAGCCTGGTATAATTTCATATTAGTAGATAAGAATAGGATAAAAAAATCGGACTTTCTTGTCAAATCATGCCTGTGAGGGAGGAGGCGGTGGAAATCTTAAATCATGCCTGGAGTGCTTTTGTGTCAAGTTAGTAAAATCATCCTAGGTTTTCAGCCACATCTACGATATAAGGGTGTTAATTAGATAACCTTTAGTTCCCTGACCTTGAAACTCAAAAAGGAAGGTCTATAAATAAAAGCTTAGTAAATGGAAGAAAATCTTGCCAATGTATTTGAAGTGACATTATGATCTGTGTTTATCATTTTTAAGCCAGCTCAATTCCTGAATAGAAGAATGCCAGGCCAGAGTTTTGTAACATGGACCAGGATCTTAGCATGGGTACGTGAAGGACCATGCATTCTTCTGGATGAGGGAACAACCACTAAGATATAAATTAGGGCAACTGGCTAAACAAAGATGATCTCTCCCTCTGGGAAGTGATCAATTCATTTTCTTTTCCCATCTTTTCGACAGCACTGACCTGATGTGCATGCACACTCTAAAATTTGTCATCAACTTTACTGATACTTTTATCTTAACTATATAATGCATCATAATTGCTTTCACATATATAAAAATATCTCTGAAAGGACAGACCCTCTAAGGAAATGGGTTTCAAGTCTATTTAAACTTACTTGGGAAAATTGCATTAAGAAACTCTATTTCTTCCTGGAAATTCCGGTGTGGGTACCCTTGGTGAGAAGGCTTCATGAAATTCTTACGAGAATAAAAGAAGCTCTGAAAAAGACAGATAACTTTATACGTAGGATTTTATCACCTTTCATAGTCAACTATTTTCTGAATACGTATATCAAAATCAAATCTATAAATATTTTCTCCAATGCACCTTAACATGTTTTTTCCCTTTAAATGTTTAAAATGTAAGTGATCTTTTGCTGGCCAATAAAAAAATGAAGGCCACTGTGTCAGAGCAAGATTCCAGACCAAAATGCATGAGGTAGTGTTACACAGAGCAACTTCAAGTTGTGGAGAAGAATCTCAAGAAGGCCTTAGGAATGCAAATCACTACTGTGAGTTTCTGGAAACTAAAAAATACCCATTCTACTCCTGATGGGTCACAACTGTAGAAACAAGGTACATTATTTCTGGAGCAGTAATTTCAGATCTGAGCTTTTAAATAGGCATGGAAGCAACAATCTGAGAACATGTGTACATTCAGTTTCAAGAGTCAGTGATTACCTACCACAACTAAGCATTAAACACACAAATTTATTTACTAGGCATATGCATAACACAGAGCCCTAATGTTTGCCTGGAAAAAAAAAGGATTAAATGTTTGATTACTTACTTGAATCGAATCAAACCCACTGTAATCCCTAGCAAGTTTCAACAGGGGAACCAGTGCTTTCAGCAAGAGGGTGGTACCACATGTCTTCAAAATGAAACGTCTCTTGGAGACAAACATGCTACTCTCACTGCATTTGAAAAAAGTCACAAGGTTATAATGTTTCTGTATTACTGAGATGCAATTAATCTATTACTAGATTATTTACCATGTATAATTTGGCTATTAACCCCCATCTACTTCTAAACTTTCCTCCTCACCTCACCTACCTTACTGAAGTCATACTTTACTTCAGCTTGTACCAACCACTCTCACATGTATTTCTGTAAACATCTCATTACTTCTTTTACTAGATAATAAAGTCCACGAGGAAAGGAATTTATTTTTACTCACCATTATATTCCTAGGGCCTGACACATAAGCATTCAATAAACATCTGTATATGCCAAACATAAGCTTAGTAAAAACCAGGCACCTTATGCACCTTGTTCAATCCAGTAACCACAAGGTCCATTATAGTACATAAGAAACTAATGTTTTTATTGGGGCACCTGGGTGGCTCATTCGGTTAAGTACCTGCCTTCTGCTCAGGTCATGATCTCAGGGTGCTGGGACCGAGCCATGTGTCTGGCTCCCTGCTCGGCAGGGAGTCTGCTTCTCCCTCTCCCCCCACCCGTTTGGGCTCTCTCTCAGATAAATAAAATTAAAAAAGAAAAGAAAAGAAAAGAAAAGAAAAGAAAAGAAACTAATGTTTTTATTGGATAAATTAGCTTTGTACCTATAAACATGTTGAATGGCTTTCTTCTCCTATATACTGCAAAGGGACACTTAAATATTTTATACCATTATTTCTCAAAATAAGGAAAAAATGATTATAGTACTAAGATCCAGAGAACAATTTGCTATTCCCATGTAAAGAATGATTCAGACTAAAATCAGGTAGCAAACAATTGTTTCTGCAGGACTTACCTGAGTACATAAGCTTCCTGCTTGTCAGTTTTTGTCACACTTATGATTGAACATTGCACATCCTTCAGAAGTATGTCCCACTCAGATCTATTATTCAACAACAAAAAAGACGATTAAGTCATAACAGTACTTGCCTACTTGGATAAAAATTATAAAGCTCTTACACTTTGGTGTTCTAACACAATTTACACCATGTATTTTGTATTTGCTGTCACATTTTTGTTCCAGTTTCTGGGTAACATTTAGTTTTATTTCAAAAGCCTATCTATATTGACATATCCACCAAGTAACAAAGAGCAAACTGGAAAACTGGAAATTATAAGCTATTTGCAATTTACTAAGAAAAAACAAATAATGAAATGAATAAGCCATGCACAGAGATAATTAAAAGGCCCATAAACCAAGGAAAATCATTACCTTTCACCAACAAGCAAGTGAAGAAATTAAGTCAAAACGAGATGTTTGCCTATCAATTTTTTTTTTTTTTTTAAAGATTTTATTCACTTACTTGACAGAGAGAGAACATAAGCAGGGAGAGCTGCAGAGGGAGAGGGAGATGCAGGCTCCCCACTGAGCAGAAAGCCTGACACAGGCCTTGATCCCAGGACTCTGGGATCATGATCTAAGCCAAAGGCAGATACTTAACTGATTGAGCCACCCAGGAGCCCCATTGCCTATCAAATTCTTAGATTTTTAATCCTACTGGAGGAATTACAATTTAAAAAGCATCACTTCCTTCACCGATTAGATCGGCAAAAAGATTTAAAGGCCAAACTGTTAGTAAGCTGGAAACTCTTATACTGTTTAGATACTATTTTCTATCAAATTAGCAGCTAATCATAATACCTAGTGGTGTCTCAAGTCTAGAAGCATCAGAAACTTGAAACACGGCTTTTGTTGACAATTCGACCGTAAGACTTTGGGGGAACATTATGCAACTCTTTAATAGGATAAAAAAATGCACATTTCAACAAAGTAAAAAGTCTGTAGTACAGGCAACAGACAGCAAAATGAAGTCAAATGGACATAACTAAAGAAATTGGTTTTGGGGCACCTGGGTGGCTCAGTTGTTAAGCGTCTGCCTTCGGCTCAGGTCATGATCCCAGGGTCCTGGGATCGAGCCCCACATCGGGCTGCTTCTCCCTCTCCCACCCCCCCTGCTTGTGTTCCCTCTCACTGTGTCTCTGTCAAATAAATAAATTTAAAAGAAAAATAATCTCTAATAAAAAAAATTGGTTTTAATTTTATCTGATTGAGTCCTAAGAAGTACTTCCTCTTTAGTGTGCCCACTACAAACAGAAATACATAAAACAATTCCACAGGACAAGCTTGTAATTACTGGATTAAAGTCTAGAAATGTTTTTAAGGCTCTTAATGTGACAGATCATTCCTGTAAACCCAAGAAAATGGCATATTATGGTTTTCTTATCCAATTAAGACTCTGTAAAAGAAATCCTCAATAGCACAGCCAGCACAAAAACAGGTTATGTTTTATTCTTTTGTACTACAAATCAAGCACGGGGCACCTGGCTGGTTCAGCCAGTAGAGCACTGAACACTCAATCTCAGGGTTGTGAATTCAAGTCCCATGTTGGGTATAGAGAGAACTTAAAAAAAAAAAAAATCTTAAAACCAAAAACCCACAAGCATAGTACCAGTCAATCCTGCTAGCATTTTGTGCCTGTTTCATCATTTTCCAAAAGAAATTATATGACCAATCACAGAAGGCAGTAATTCCTACATTGGGTAAATTAAATTGAACAGTACTGAGACCTACCTGAAAAAACCTAAATGAGTTAGGCTTGCTAATGATTTTAAGATTTTATTTCTTAGAGAGAGAGAGAGACAGAACGCGCGCACCGAGAACCGGGGGGGGGGGGGTCAGAAAGAGAAGCAGACTCCCTGCTCAGCAGGGAGGCTGATGCGGGACTCCAGGATCATGACCTGAGCCGAAGGCAGTCGCTTAACCAACTGAGCCACTCAGGTGCCCTAGGCTTGCTAATGATTATAGAACCTATTTGCCTGTAACTTTACCAAGGTGTTTTTTAAAATTTATTTTTATTTTTGGGGCACCTGGGTGGGTGGCTCAGTAGGTTAAGTGTCTGCCTTTGGCACAGGTCATGATTCCAGGGTCCTGGGATCGAGCCCCATGTTGGACTCCCTGCTCAGCACGGAGCCTGCTTCTCCCTCTCCAGTTCGCTCCCCCTGCTCTCTGTCAAATAAATAAATCTTTAAAAGATTTAGAGGGGGAGTGGGAGGAGAAGGAGAGAAAGAGAAAGAGGATGAATCTGAAGCAGACTCTCTGCTGTGTGGAGCCTGACATAGGGCTCGATCTCACAACCCTGAGCTCATGAACTAAGCCAAAAAAAACAAGATGCTTAACAGACTGAACCACCCAGGCGCCCCGTGAAGGAATTTTTTTAAAAAGCTAACAATTAGCTTTCTTTCAAAAAGGTGCCAACAACTGTTTATATAAAGAAAAAATACTTATTAGACTCGCCATATCTTGGCAGTTTGTTTCAAAATTTTGAAATGGTACAATTTGTTGTTTAAGAAGAAAAAGTTAAAATTGAGACCCAGTTCTGAGCAACACAAACTGATCATTTTAATCCTTTTTTTTTTTAAGATTTTATTTATTTATTTGACAAAGACAGACACAGCGAAAGAGGGAATACAAGCAGTGGGAGAGGGAGAAGCAGGCTTCCGGCTGCGCAGGGAGCCCGATGTGGGGCTCGATCCCAGGACCTGGAATCATGACCTGAGCCAAAGGCAGACGCTTAACGACTGAGCCACCCAGGCGCCCATTTTAATCCTCTTATTGTAGGTGGTCATGCAATAGCTCGGGCTTTTTTATTTCTAAGGCTCAAAAGTTCACTGATGTTATGAACATTTCAGGACCCATTGTAGTTCAATTCCACAAATAATATGCTTTAATGCAAAAAGGAGTAATGGGGCTCTAAAAGAAGCTATTGCTGGGGTGCCTGGGTGGCTCAGTTGGGTTTAGCGACTACCTTCGTTTCAGGTCATGATCCTGGAGTCCCAGGATCGAGGGGAGTCTGCTTCTCCCTCTGAACCTCCCCCCCCACCCCCGCTCGTGCTCTCTCTCAAATAAATTTATGTACTTGATGGTAAGAATTCAAGCACTGGATACATAGGTAAATAATAAAAATACCCACTATAAGAGGCATTAAGTAAAATTCTGCAGCACAGGAGTCTCTCTTTAGAGCTTATCTAATTCAGATCCTACCTAATAACTCCCCACTAGAATTCAGCACTCTTGCAAATATTCTTTTCCACCCACAGAACACACTACCTCCTCAGTTATATTCACTATTCATACAGACTCTGTCACCCCATTTTGAGATAATTGACATCACTGAAAGTTTAAGCATAATGGGTTTGTACTTACACATTTGTGGAATGATTACCACAGAAAAGTTTAGTTAGCATCTCACATATACAATAAAAAAAAAAAAGAAAAAAAAGAAAACAAACCTTTCCACTATGAGAAATCTTGGTATTTTCTCTTAATTTTCACGTATCATACAGCAGTGTTAACAGTATATTAAGACTTTTAATCATGCTCTGTGACTTTTTCTTTCTTGAGGGAGAAGCAGGCTCCCCGCATAGCAAGGAGCCTGATGGGGGACTCGATCCCAGTACGCTGGGATCATGACCTGAGCCAAGGGCAGCCGCTTAACTGACTGAGCCACTCAGGCGTCCCTCCCCCCCTTTTTTTTTTTTTTTTAAAGATTTTGACAGAAAGAGAGAGAGAGAGCACAAACAGGGGGAGGGCAGGCAGAGGGAGAAGTAGGCTCCCTGCTGAGCAGAGCCAGATGCAGGACTTGATCCCAGAACCCTGGGATCATGACCCGAGCTGAATGCAGACGCCTAACGACTGAGCCACCCAGGCGTCCCTGCTTTGGTTTTTTATGCATTAATTTATCTTCAAATGTTCCCCCAACTGTTTCCTTTCAACATTTCTTTTGAGTGATTCTTGGCCAAGATTAGGGTACTAAGACTTAGCTAAGTCAGAAAGTCTATACACATGGATGGGGCTTGTTTACTATGGGCCTCTATACAGGGCACTGTGGGGGGTTTCACTGGGCAACTATTTTTTTTTTTTTTTAAAGTTCTTTCCTGGGCAGGTCAGATTTATCCAAATATTCCATTCTCTTGCCTAGAGAACATGAAGATTTCTGGTAGGCAAAAGATAAAGGGCTAAGGATCTATCTCATTATGAGCCTTTATTCTTTATTTTCAGTATAGTTACTCTACCCCAATAGTACCTCATTTCAGAGAGATCCTTTTTTACTCCCATTGAATAATTATCTAATCTTCAGGTCTCCTGGCATCCCTCTTTTCATCTGACTCAAATTTTATAATATAAAGACAATGAATCAGAAGAGCAGCTGAAATAAAAAAAACACACACCGACAAATATATAGGTAACTAGCTCTATCCCCATTTCCTGTATTCCAGTCACATGGGACTTTTCCACCAACCATTTTCTCCCTAGAAATAGGGCACCATAAATTTATTCACCCAAATCAAGCCACATGAGAGTGTAAGAGAGCATTATAATTATGCTGGACAACACATGTAAACTTTGTTCTGAGTACTGCTGGAATGGATTTCACCGTACCCTGTCCTCAGCACCTTCTTCTACCTCAAGTCACCTCACTATTCCCACCAGATCAAAGATCTTTTCATGAAAAAGTTTTAATACTCAGAAAGCTTACCAAAGCATTTTATTTGTGTGGCTATTCTGGTATTCATGCAAATCCCACTAGACATTCCATATAGTTAGGGAGTTTGTGTTTTGTTTTTATCTCCAGTGCCTAGCCCAGTTCGTAAGAGATCCTCAATTATTTGTTGAATCTGGCAAAAATTATCCTGATTCAATCTTATGGACATTTGGGAAAATAACAGCCTTAAAATAAAAAAAAAATTTTTTTATTTATTTGACTGAGAGAGACGGAACACAAGCAGGGGGAGTGGCTGAGGGAGAAGCAGGCTTCCTGCCGAGCAGGGAGCCCCATGTGGGGCTTGATCCCAGGACCCTGGGACCATGATCTGAGCCAAAGG